TCTCTAGCCATTCGTTTGTTGATGGGCACTTAGGTTGTTTCCAACTCCTTGCTATTGTGAACAAAGCTGCAATAAACATGGGTGTGCATAACACGTCCAGCTTTAGCTCAGGGTGTGGAAAGAGCACTGTTCCACACCTACAAGAAAAACACACCAAGTCAGTGCCGAATCACAGACGTCCTCAGATGTGACCAGAAAGCTCAGGACGTGTCTTCCCTGGGGGGTCTGGAAGTCAGGACTGGGTGGTCCCACTGAGCCCGTCCTCTAAGGGAAGAAAGGAGCCCCAAGAACAGTGGGAAGGGGCCATGCTTCCCAGGCAGAGAAAAGCCCCACCTCCCCAGAAGCTGCTGTAAGTGCCAGCTTCAGGCCACGAACAGACGCTGTAAAGGATACAATGCCGGGGAGCCTTATCCCTAAGACCTGAAGACTCAAACACAAGCTAGGGGGGAGGGACCAGCAGCCACAGTGGGCACGGTGAAGGCCCACTGGGGCGAAGGGAGGGAACCCACAAGAAACATCATCTCTTATTTCCCGAGAAGGGGAAGGGCCAGAACATCCCAGGTCTCTTGGGCTTGTGGGTCAGAATCAACCCCTTCTCATTCCCCAAATCAAAAGAAGACAAAGCTTCTCTAATATTGAGGCTAAGTAAGACCGAAGAGAATCCTAAGGCCACCCTGAGACACCACCCTTGAAATGAAATGAATCCAAGGTCACCTTGAATGACAGAACAGATTGGCACACAAAATAAAGACTATTCTTCCGAGCACGGAGGTCTGGTGAAAACCCATCCCTATGGCTTCAAACGGCCAACATTCACTCTACCCCACAGCTAAGAGGGTGACTGGGGGCAGAGTGGGGGGAGGGACACTAGTCCCACAGTCCACCATCACAGCCTTAAAGACGACGTCGGCACACGGTGACAAAGGTACCTAACGTCACTGAAAAACTCCACGTGCAAACTGTCAAATGGGAACTCAACCTGCTGCATAAACTTGCACTGAAAACACAGTGTTACTTAGAAAATGGGCAGAGGGGTCACGTTCCTGGACTGGGCCAGCCTGTCCCATGGAACCAGACTCCAGAGCAAGGACCATAACGTGTATGTTTCTCAAAAGTCTACAGGAGATTGTACAACCCCTGACACAGAAATATGCATGCAAAGCCAGGAGGAGACTCGAGGATCATCAAGTGGTGTATGTGGGAACCGACTCATCGCTGAGCCCCCAGCAGGTTCTCAGAGGCAGTAAATGTCACAGGAGGAGGACTGCCCATCCTTCTCCCACAGAGCAGCTCATGGATTCGAACCACAAGCCTACGGGATTGCAGGGCAGCTTCTTACCACTTGGACACCACAGCTGCCTTGCCCAACTAAATGGTTTGCAGGTCTTAGAAAGGCTTGCCCGTCCCCGCCCCCAGCCTGGTCACTTCCTCACAGCGGAGCACAGGCGCACTGTCCACACCTGTCTGCGTGGCCTGTGGTTTTCAGAATCACGTCTGAATCCTTGAGGCTCTCTTTTTTCCAGTAGGAATCTGAACTGTCGTCCCAGCTGGAAAGAGGACTGCTCCGTGATCCCATGGGCTCATCGAAGTACCTGTGAGAAGAGGAGTGGGGCAGACAGTGAGGGGAGGACTCCACAGATGCCCACCACACCTCTCCCCTCTGCTTCCGAAAGTTACAGGTGGCCACGTGACAGTCAGCAGGCGTGCCACATCCCTGAAATCACCAGTGCCTGCCCAGCCCTTGTCACAGGGAAGAACAGGTGGTGCAGCCTAGGGCAGTGAAGCCTCCACAGCCTGAACACCCCAGGGGCCCCATGGAGGACGGGTGTGCTGGACAATTCCCTGGACCCACAGCGGACACAGCCCACCCAGGCAACACACGACATCTTTAAGAGCTGGCTAACGTGCTGAGTACGATCGAGTCAGAACCCACTCAGAGGGGACCCTCCCGAGGCTTTTCAGAGGCAGTAACTCAAGAGGGACGAGACCATGTATCTTTCTCCCAAGGAGAAGCTGGTAGACTTGAACTGTCTACCTTTGGGTTGGTAGTGCAGCTCTTTACCCACTAGTCCACTCGAGCCTCCTGTAGATTTCCTTTTTCTTTCTTTCTTTTTTTTTTTAATTTATTATTTTTGTGTGTGTACCGTCAAATCAGATCTGACTGGTACAGGAGGAGATTGTCCCTCCTTCCCCAGCAGAGCATCTGGTGAATTCGAACCGTCCGCCTCTGGGATTGCAGTGCAGCTTCTTGCCACTAGGCCACCAGAGCTCCCCCAGATTTCCTTTTTCTTGGGGTCTACTTTAACCTAATTGTTGGATGCCGCCATTAAGCCGATTGCAACCCCTGGTGACTGCAGACGACAAGGTATGCTGCCCACAGGGTTTTCTAAATGATCACAATGCAGCCAGGCAAGTAAGGTTGATCCCGTTCAAGGGGCTTCCTGCTGGGATCCACTCCCCGGTGAGCACGCACCAGGCATCAATCGTAACAATAGCTCCGGTTAGACCTAACTGATGCTTATGAACTTGCTCATGGAGTCAGACACAAAGGCACAGACCACGGCACAGGACAGTGCATCATGTGTGCTGATAACCGAGAGGTCGAGGTCGGCAGTTCAAATCCACCAGTGCTCTGAGGGAGGAAGCTGGGAGAGTCCCTTCCGCTGAGTACTTGTAACCTAGGAAGCCCGCTGGAGGGGAGATGTGAGTCGGGTGTGGTGGGTTTGGGGTTGGACCACCCTGCAGATGGAGCCTGGAGTAAATCTGACTCAGTCTGTTAACATCTGGGGAGAGGTGGGTGCTGGCCGGCTGGTCAGTTACCCATCATTGAGCCGATGACCCCCAGAGAGTGAGAGGCTGAGCCTAGGGCCTTCCCTTCCCACTGGTCAGCCATGAGGGGTTCTGACAACCCCAGGGGGACAGCGAGACTTCCAGCCAGGTCGCCAGATGCTCACCTGGAAGGGCAGGGTGAAGGTGACTCCAGTGGCTGGGGGTACACTTGGCCCTCCAGAGCTCTACGGACCTTCTGTCACCATTTCTAGACCCCAGTGTGCCACACTTTTCACACTTAGTCCCACACACACACTCGGTCGTCACCACCCTGAGAACACCCCTTCCAACCTCTCATAAGAACAACACAACAGCAGGTCACGTCTGGTTTAGGGCTGCGGACAATGGTCTCTTCCACCCAGGGCCACAATGACGTTCCAGGACTGAGCAAGCCACTCTACTTCCCCTCTTTTGTACTCAAATCTATAATTATATCGTTTATATCCTAGAAATAATGGAACCAAATTAAAAAAAAAAAAATAAAACCAGATACGGCCGATCTGATTGCTAACAGAAACGGCAAATGTGCTTTCATAATTCATCACGCTCAGCTCCGTGGGCTCATGAACAATTCGGACACTGAAGTGCTCTTTGCGGAGCGAGCTGCTCGCTTGGAGTCCGTTTCTCCTCCCTCAGCTGCCCGAGTTCTGTCAGTGCTGCGCTGTGCTAATGGCCACCACCTTGAGGCTGAGGGACAGAGAGGACGCCCATGGTCCCCTGGTCAGGATGAACAAGGCCTCTCTCGTGGGAGCCTGGAGTCCTGGTCCCCTGGTCACTGCTGGTCAGGATAAACAAGGCCTCTCTCGTGGGAGCCTGGAGCCTGGCCGATAAGCAAACACCATCTGCCCCCAGTTTCCAAACCACAAGCCATGGTTTCCTAGTAACACAAGCCTTGAGGGAGAAGACTCCATAGAGACCAGGGCCCTGGGAGCCAATGGAGCCCCACGGGACTCAGACTGCGACCCAGAGCCAGGCAGCCCTCCCCCAGGTTCCCTGAGGGCTTCCCCTAGAACTTCACTAGTTCTCTTCCCAGCTCTGCTATTAAGCAATAGTGTGGAGTTGACGTCCTGTCTGTTTTCTGTACCTTATCCCACAGCTGAGGCAAAGAGACCATTGTAGGAATGTCGAGGAGGCGGCCAGGGAGAGCAGCGCAGAGGACATCCACCCAGAGTGCCCACCCGCCCTCACTCAACACAGATCCGAGGGACCAGTGCACAAGCCATCCCGCCCAGAGCGCCCACCGGCCCTCACTCAACACGCAGATATGAAATTGATCCCACGTGCAAGTGGTTTCCAAATCAAATGACAAACGGAATTTTCTCTTCTAAGAAATAAATTTTCTTTAAACATTTTAAAAAGGAACAGGTTTGATATAATCCTTAAATAAGGTGAAAGTTGTTAGGGACCCTTGAGCCGGCAGAAGAGCAGCATAAAAGCTTACCCAGCTGTGCACACCCCTGCAATCCCTGCTGGACTCAAACCCGTGCCTGCGGTTACTGTGTCGACCCACCTCCCGCAGGGTGATCTCGTCCTCTGACCCACCCTCACCAACCCCACTGGACTCAAACCTGTTCCTGCGGCTACTGTGTCGGCACACCTCCTGCAGGGTCCTCCCGTCTTTGACCCATCCTCATCTGCTGGACTTAAAACCCATGTTGACCCATCTCACGCAGAGTCTTCCTCTCGTCCCCAACCCTCTACTCTTACATACGTGATGCCCTTTTCCCAAGACTGGTCCCTCCCGATAATGTACCCTAAGCATATGAGATGAAGACTCACCATCCTTGCCTCGAAGGAACGGGCTACATTTCTTTTTTTTTTTTTTTAATATATATATTAGATTTTATTGATTTTAATGAACATTGACAGAGATTTTGGGTTTCCATCGTGCTGCATTTCTTGCAAGACAGATTCACTGGTTCTTTCCTCAGTCCAGGGGGTACTCAGCACTCTTCACCAACACCACAGCTCAAAGGTCTCGATTCTTCCATCTTCCTTTATCCAATTTTCACATGCATACGAAGCAATTTAAAATACAACAGCTTGGGACAGGTGCTTTAAACTGACATCAGGGGGGATTGGCACAGTGACTGGGCATGCAAGGATGCCCCAGGACAGAACAAGGGTCCCGTCTGTTGTTCATAGGGTCGCTATGACACGGAGTAATAATGGTGGTCATTATCAAGTCACCCCGACTTCCAGCAGCCTTCTGAAAAACAGAACTCACCGTGGGCTGGTCCGGCCCCATCTCTGGGGGCTGGTGTTAATCCACCTCATTGCGGGGCTCCTTCCCTTCCGCCAGCCTGCTGTTGTGGCAAACCTGACGTCTTTTTCTAGCACTGATCTCCCCTGAGGCCAGGTCCCACGTAAGCCAGGCGCAGTACCGCCGTCCTCACTTCTCAACAGCACGCTGGTTGTAAGTTTTCCTGAGACTGGCTTCATTCTTCTGACCCAAACCAAGCCGCTACCATCAAGTCCATTCCATCTGACAGTGACCTGGCGGGCAGAGCAGAACTGTGTCCCCACGTGGCTGTGGAGGCTGCACCTCCTTACAGAAGCTGTCGGCCTCATCTTTCTCCGACAAAGCAGCTGGTGGATTCAAACCATCAGCCTTTTGGTTAGCAGACCAATCCACAATCCACTGCACCACCAGCTTCCAGGGTCCTTATTCTTTGGAAGTCCGAGGGATGTTTAGTATCCTCAGCCAAAACCACTCGAAAGCGTCCGTTCTCTGACTTCTCTAACTGTCCAGCCCACCCATGCACAGGGGACCAGGCAAAGGGCACAAATATGAGCCAGGCGCACCTTAGTCCTCAAGCTGACAGCCTTGCTTTTCTAACACGGGAAACAAGCCGTCAGCAGCAGACTGGCCAAAGGCCATAAGATGTTTGCTTTCTTGGCCACTGCCTTCCAAGGGCTCTGATGGTCAAGTAGGATGAACCCGTGGAGACGCCATCCCTTCCTCCGTCCGACACCGTTTATTAGCCCAGTTGTGAGGATTCATTCGCTGCACGTGCAGGTATAACTTGTACCAAAGGCCTGTTGCCTTCATCGTTAAGTGCTTCAAGCTGCCTCCTTTTCAGCCAGATCATGTCTTCTGCATATTACAGCCTGTTAATGCACCTTTCTCCCATCCCAATGCCATGCTCTTCCTCACATAGCCTGGTTTCTCCGATTATTTTCCAGTGCACAGATTAAATAACTAAAAGGAGAGGGTAACACCCCCCCTCACACTTTCTCCAGTCCCGAGTTGCACCACATCCCCACACCCAGTGGAAGGACAGACTCTTGATGCAGGAACAGGTGAGGACACTCCAGCACAGAGAGGTTAAACAGCTGGTCTGAGGTCACACAGCCTGAGAGTGCAAGAGTGGGGTTTTGAACCCAGGCCTCCCAGCTTCTGGGCCTATGTCATACTTTCTCTGTCTGCTGCTGGCACTGAGCTCCAGTGAAATCACAAGATTAGGTGGTAACTTTTTCTTTTTTTTTTTTTTAAATTGTGATTTGGATAAACATTTACGCAACAAGTTAATTTTGCATTCAACAATTTCACACACTGTCTTTGGTGACACCAGTTATGATTCCCTGACTGTCACCGCCCTCCTCCCACCTCCCTCCTGGGTTCTCAGTTTCATCTCCCTGCCCCTTCCTGCCTTCTGAACGTGTTCCAAGGCACACACTGTCCACTGCTTGGTGCCCTCTTAGCGGTCTGCCCTCAGGCTGAACCTCGCCGAGTGGGTGTCTGCAAGCCAAAACTTGTCCTCCCTATTCCTGCAGGCTGTGGGTGTCCAGCCAGGGCCCTCCAGGGAGTGCCAGCAATCAGTAACCCGCCCTCCATCCTGGAGGTCACAAAGGACAACAGCACCATGCATTAATACCACACGCACACACACACACACACACACACACACACACACACGTAGAGTGGAACCTCTAGCCCGCCAACTGGAAACTCCCAAAGATGGTATCCTGAAACAAAAGGACTTGCTGATGTCCTGCAGCCCAGCTGTGTGTGTCCTAATACCCACCTGTGTATGTCCTGAGGCCCGGCTGTGTGTCCTGTGTCCTGAGACACAGCTGTTCTGTCCTGTGTC